GGGCCGGTCCCGTTGGCTCCCGGGCCGAGAGCACAGGGTGGGCCTCAGTGGCCCTGGGAACTGGGGTGGAGGCGAAGGGTTTGGAGACAGGAAATGCCGTCAGGGTCCTAGTCGCTCAGCGGGAGGCGCCGCGGGGCTGGGCAGGGGGCTGCTTCCCTGAGGTGTCCGTGCCCAGGCCCCTGAGCAGCGTCCCCAACGGGGGGTTTGGAGGGAAAAGGGGGGCGACGATTGCGAGTGTATCTCACACCTCCCGGAGCAGGACTCCGAAGCCGAGGGTCAGAGGTCAGCCCCTCCGGAGGCTCCCAGGTGGGGGCTCCAAGTCCCAGGCTGTGGCCACAGCACCAGCCCCGCCCCCCCGGGCCTCTGGGGCCCCCCCTCTGGGGCTGTCTCCCCTGAGACAGGCCCCCTAAGTGCCGTGCTGACTTGATGCTGCTTCTTCCCACTGTTGGGGTGTTGTCTCCGGCAACCAGGTGAGAACACCCCAGATGTGGGTGCTGCCCAGGGAGGGGCCTGCTGTCGGGGCTCATGGCTGCCGGACCTCCCCCCACGCAGCCCTGGGGCGGGGCAGGGAGAGGCTCCGCCCTACGCCCCCTGATCCGACCCCCCAGCTTAAGGACAGTTTCCTGTGGATGCAGAGCAGGCTGCTGAAGAGCGGGAGCTTCCTGGGAGCTCACTGCGAGGACGAAGACAGCTCGGGGGACGGGGAACACGTCGGGGACCACAGACGGGACAAGCGAAGCAGACAGGACAGACGGGAAGGCGACGGTCCCAGCGCGGGCCCCACGGGAGCCGGCACAGGGAGACAGCACAGGCCACCGCACACGCGAGACTCCAGCCAACGCCACGCCAACGCCACACCAATGCCACAGAGGGTCTCCTTCCACGGGGGTGGGTGGGGCCGGAAACAGACAGGGGCCGTCCCCTTACCCTTCTTCTTCCGGACCGAGGCTTGCAAACAGAAAGGGGGCGTGAGTCCCGTGGGGCAGCGCTCGCCGGGGCCCAGGGATGGGGACACCCCAGGTCCCCACCGGGGAGAGGCCCAAGGGTGGTGAGCCCCGCTGGTCCAGCCGCCCCCGAGTCCCCCTTTAAGGTGGAGCTGCCTGCTGGTCCCTCTCGGGGGGAGGTGACCCCCACAGGCCCTCGGGGGGCTGGCGAGTCAGGGGAGACAGGCCGTCGTTCACACGGTCACCCCACTGGGTGCCACACGGGGACAGCGGCTGTTTCTGGGGAGTCTTGTCTGATGGACAGGGTGGGGGAGGGGCCTCCGGGGAAGCGCTGGCGGGGTGGTGGGTGCCCGCAGGCTCGCTCCTTCCTGGAACACGGGGGCGTGAGGGGTGCGGCTGTGCCCCCCACGGACGGGGTGGCTGAGACCCTCCCAGGGGTGCTGCCTGGAGGTGAGGGAGGAGGGACCAGGGGAGCGAGCCCCAGGCAGATGCTGGCTGGGTGCTCAGACTCCCACCCCCGGGCTCAGGGCACCCGCCCTCCCTCCGCCACCTCTTCCCTCTCAGCAGAGCGAGCACCTCCCCCGCCCGCCACCTGTGGGGGTCACGTCACTGTCCTCC